TTAAAGGAAAAAAATTTGACAAGGATATATTTGTCAGTATTTGCTCCTGTGACTACGGGTAAGCTCTTCCTACATCAAGAGCAACTGCAGTATGAGAGTTGCAATAGTGTTTCAAGGCTATGTCTTTTGCATTACCATTTTCAGATGTATTGTCTACTTTGCCTTTTAATATCTACTGTAATCTCTTGCTGCAATCGTGTATATACTCTGTGAACTCCAGTGGACTTACTTGTTAAAGATAAGCTATTTTACATAGAGAAAGACTTTACAATGAGCCCAATGTTGGGCAGTGATGCATAGAGACCCCTTGCACTGAATTTTCTGGAAGTTGATGGTGAGTCAGATTTGCTCTATACACCAGTCTAAAGCAAAGTGATAAAGATCACTCTTTTCTTCCTGGAACTTTTTGCTATTTATACTAAATAAGGTCAGAGGCCAAACCCAACCACCCTCTTGCATGTGCGTAAGAGTTTACAATAGAAAAAGTCAAAAGAAATACTGTAAAATCCATTTTATGGACTAAAGAGGAGGTACAAAGCTATTGGTTGCTTAACCTAAAGTCAAACAAGAAATACATGGCAATATGAGTGACTGAAAAATACCTTGGAAGCCTCCAGAAGCCAGAAAGTTATCATTCTTGCTAGAATGCATGAATCTTCTTTGGTACCATAATTAAGTCTCTATCAGTGATATACACTCTTGCAAAATGCCAACCACTAAGGAAAAGGAAAAAGTACTTACCTTGTTGTAGCAAAGTTCATTATTCCCTCCTCTGGCAGGACTGGAAAGAGCAGTTTTCTCTAGTCCCAAGGTATTTCAACTGCTTCTGCAACACAAATGTATTCCTCTTATTTTCTGCTTTTTTGCCTACAGAGAGAAGAAAAGATCACTGTTTTGGACGGTAAAGACCATGACTTTGTTTTGCTCTCCACATGAATTTGGAGCCTATGTCTTTGCAGGCACAATTTTTCAGTCTTCAACTGAAACACTGCAAATGACTCTCATGAAGCCCATGAGAGGAGCTGTAATATTTTCTAACTATAACCTTGTCACAAGTGTTGAATGTACTCAGCCTTGTACTAAACATGAGAAGTTCGTTCACTCCTGCAGACTATTGACACTGCAAATAATACCTAAATTCTCCTCTAGGTAATGCACTAAAGGCCTGGAGATAAAATAAATAAAATAGAGAAATGGAGTCTCTGTTCACCTTTTTATATGCTTTAATGTGTCCACTGCAGGTAAGCTAGGAAGAAAGCAATGCTCTCATGAGTTCTACTTTCTCTTTCCTATGCACCATTTAACTTTTACAAATAAAAAAACTTGTAAAACAAAAGAAGGTGCAAAGTTAACTTGACCAAGCATTTAAATATCCTTATTAAGCAGAAGGTGATTTAAGAGGTATTCTACTAAGAGATGAAAAAGGGTTTTGATATCATCATAATACATGTGTCTGAACACACATGTAGGATTCAGTTTTGAAGCTTTTACAAAATACCACTACAAAGCAGACACAGTAAAGATATAATAGAACAGACAGCAAATGTCCTTTCCAGTGGAAAACACAATGTTAATTAATTCATATAAGCCAAAGAATACAGCATAATTCATCTTATCAACAGCTTATTATGTAAACATGATGCAAGACTTCAAGTGCCCTAATACACTATAAAATATAAATGAAAATAAAGAACAAATAGGGAAGTATGTTACATAAGAGTTAGCATAACTGGTTAGTATAGGAGCCATATATGCGTATCTATAATCAAGGACATACAAAAGCACTTAGATATATCCTTGATTTTTCAACATGGTTCTGTTCCATTAAGGGCAGAAAGATGAACTGTGCCAACAGACAGACAAGCATGGGGAAGTACGTGACAAAGCTATGACAGGGTAAAAATTTCCAAAGCATTCATATTCGTCTTTTAAGATCTGAATTGGCATTTTCAACAATGTTTCCATCTGCCCACAGCCGAAAACTAACCAAAAGCTTTCAAAACACTTACTGTAAATATTTCTTTTCAACTGCATAGTTGAGAGTGCTCCCATGGTCCACCTTTGACAAATGGCCTGGATAACAATGCCTGTAAAGATAGGAATGCGAGTGTAAACAGCAGGAGTGAATCAAATTACACAAAACTATCTGGGAGGACATTTGCCCCAAATTGTTCTTGTTAAAGCAAAGGAGAACCATCAGCTGGATTAAATAACAACCAAGAAATTACAGAGATTTCTGAAAAAAAGAAGGCAGCCTCAAAAGGATTATAGAAGCATGAACATTTGTAAGAGAGAGGAGACCCTGAGGTTGATAAAGAGGTAGTCAAAACCTGGTTTGACACTGCCACAAGTTGTCTCACAAGCAGCAGCACATCCTCTGCCAAGGCCTGATGAAGCATCTTCCTCAGCAGACACCATGACAAGCCACGGGGTGCACCAAGTAGGGACCCACACCTGGAGCGGGTGTGCATCACTGAGGGAGGGTGGGGAGGCTGGAGGGGGTCTGAGCCCATCACTGGGGGTTGGGAGTATTACAGCTTTTGGAATTAGTTACATAAGCATGTTTAGAAATTTGTGGGCATTTGTTAATATTTTGTAAATGTCTCATTTTGTGGTTTATCTGATATTGATCCCAATGTATAGTTCACTGATTGTCTGTTAATTACAAGTTGTTAATTATTCAATAAAGTGTTTTGATCCTGATTTGATTTAAACTGTGTAATCTGAGCAGTGGCTCTCTGTGAAGCACAGTTTCACATATCTCAACATTTTACTTTTTTTGTCCCTAATATTTTAGCTTGACAAAGTTTATATACATGAATTCCTGTCAAAAAAAAATATTCAGCTTGGACACTTTCAGCTGGTGGTAGTGGCATTTTTTGTGTGCATGATACCCCACACTTCACAGGAATACTTTGAAACCTGAGAACCAGCAATCCCTAAATTCTGTCTGTTGCAGACAATCCTATAACTAACTTTATACTTTTTGCAATTCCATAAAAATCATTTAGCTATTGCTCAAAACACTTCCAGAGAAAGTTAAATATCATTAGTAACTCTATTTGCAGTGGGCAATTCAGAGAAGTTAAGTGAAGAATAGTCCAGGTTTATACAATTTTATACTAGTTCTGGAGGCAAGTCATTTAATCTTTCTGAGGAAAATCTATCCATGTTTCATTTTAGGGACTTCTGTGAACTAATTTAACTTTCTTGATTTCAATTTCCCCACGACTGAGAAAGACACAGAATACTTGATGACCTACAGCACAAAAGTCAGTACTCTTTAGCGGCTGCCTTTAATCCAAAACTGCCAATCAGTTTGCTGGTTCCCACATTTGGTGACTGGGTTGATTAATTATTCCACAGATTGTTAAAACTAGTCAGGAGAAAAGAGTGGTGGGAATACTTTGCTAAATCCTAGCTTTTGAAAATATTCAGGGCTCTGACAGCTGACTATAGGGAAAGCTCAGCTACTTGTGTGGCAGCTACTGAATAACCACAAATTACAGCCTGATGTATTACAGAAAACCAAAGGGCAGTTTTGTTTTACCTCAATACACTGTGCTCTGAAACTGATATTTCAGCTTTTGCTAGCTGTTGATCTAACCAAACAGCTTAGTGCATTCTGGTTCTGGGACAGAGAGTGAGCAGTGGGGTAGGAGCTGCTATATCCATCTTCTAGTACGTGACTTGCTCTTGTGATAACAATTTAAATGCCTGAAAATTCCAAATGTTTCTAGAGCTGATTCTTTTGAAATAGCAATATCTAAATGAAATACTATATGAAGGAAAAAAATAAATTTTTAAAAAGTCAGCTATAATTTGTATTTTGCCAGTGTAAAGTGCTACCAAACTGAGATATTTCTCTCTGTAACACCAGTTCTCCACAACGTTCCAAAACCTGTTATTCCATGACTATAATTTATATAAGAAAAAATAAAAAATATAATTTATTTCTAGTTTTCTTTGGATTATTTATTCACCACACCCCCAAATTTGTCTTATGCAGACTTTTTTAATCTGTTTTTATACACTACATGTCTAACACTTCCTGAGACAGATAATTATTTTAGTTGCAGTTATATACTACATTTAACAGAAACTAATAAAACAGTGCCTTTTCAAAGGTGAAAATTATTTCATATACACCAATTTGTCAATTACACGTGCTTCTTACACTGCATCTTTTCACACCATTCTTATGAAATTAAAATAGAATTTACTATCAGAATTCTCCCTCACATTCAGAAGCCTACATCTGAATACCACAATTACAATACAAAATATCAGATTTGACTACCAAACTAGAAGACAGAACAGGCTTACAGAATCACAGAATCACAAGGGTTGGAAGGGACCTCGGGAGATCATCTAGTCCAACCCCCCTGCTAAAGCAGGCTCTCCTAGAGCATTCTACACAGGACTTCATCCA